GGTGCAGGTGCTGGTGCTGGTGCTGGTGCTGGTGCTGGTGCTGGTGCTGGTGCTGGTGCTGGTGCTGGTGCTGGTGCTGGTGCTGGTGCTGGTGCTGGTGCTGGTGCTGGTGCTGGTGCTGGTGCTGTATGCCTACCCATAAGCCATAAGCATGAAAGTACAACCTTAAGCATCGAAATACAGGCGGCTGAATCTGGCAGCGGAAAGCCAATTTAATCTTTCATCCTTCCGACAAGGTACGATTCAGTGTCCTCCGCCTGCAAGGTGGCTTGCTCGGGCAACTTTAGCCGCAGAGCTGCGATTCAAAGTTTCGGCTTTAGGGAGGGGCGCGAGACCATGGCTTCGGGCCGGTCCTTGGTGGGATCGAAACCCAGGTCCAGCAGCGCATCCCGAACCTTTGGGCGTCGGGTGCTAGGGTCCGAGATCTTCGGCCTCTGAAATCGCTTGCCCCACTCCGCAATACTCGAACAGGGTGCTTGGGGCATCTATCATGGTATCATTTTGGGGGACCCTCACGGGGATATTCTTACGCGTCGTTCAGACTAGACCCTGAGCCCTAGACCCCCAAGCCCTGTATCAATCCCTAAACCACAGAACCCTGACATTCCCCCCCTGAGAGCAACAGCCTATAACCTTTCGAGTAACCCAAAACAGCTCCCCCCCCCCCTTATATAGCAACTTACAACCCTTATAGCAAACCTTATGACAGCAAGCCAAAAGACCCTAAACCCTCTGAGGCGTCGGCATACTGCTTCGAGAACTCCTTCATCTTCATCTCGGGCTTCGCCTTCATGAGCTCTGTGACGTTGGAATACCTGGTAGGGTTCAGGGTTTAGGGTTCAAGGTTTAGGGTTTAGCTCGGGATTTATAAGGTTCTCATAGGATTCCATCAGTTTCATTAGGATTTTATAGAGGTTTATGGGACTGTGTAGGCTTTTCTGGGGCTTCAGAGTTCTAGGGGACGACTCTGAGAAGCCGAAGGAATCAACGACAGCTGGGGACCTCATTGTCTAGAGTCTAGAACTCTCGTTCGACGAAGTTTCCGTCGGAAACTTGAGGATTGAATAAAGCCCTGGTAAACAGACTAGAAGGTGGACAGGTCCAGGGTGTTGAAGGGTACTTGCCGGTCTTCATCTCCGCAGCCATCTTGGGATACTTGGCGTCGTACTCCTGTCGACAAGTCGCAGCTGCGGCATGATGTGCTGACACATGTATCTTGCCGATGCCGGACAACGGGAAGACTTGCCCCAGGGTTCGGGAAATTCCAGCACAGCTGAGTGACAGAAACCCACAGACCTCGATCGTGCACATGCGCGAGGAGTCTGGGGTGTTCACCTTCAGGGCTGCAGCGTGAAGCCAAGGCACCATGAGTATGGCGACTTTCATCAAGCTGGTTCCAGTAGTGGCATGTTCCACAATTCTTGCTGTTTGCTACGGACATGATACCCGAGTGGCGGCAGGCTAAGAAGGGTCAGATCAGAGAATCAAATCAGGTTCCCTCTGAGACCATGGTAGGACCATGTAGGGCCTCATCGATGACGTGGATCACACCTTTGTCGTCCAACCCAAACTCGTACTTGGTGTCCTGGCTCCGGACTTTCAGGTCCGACATCTTCAGACCGGTCCAAAGCTAGAACCCCACATATGGGTAGTTCTCTAAATTAGGGTCCCCTTTTTTACCGGGTATAGTAAACAGGACCCTGTTAAACCCGGACCCTAAAGGGGATCCTAATTTAGAGAACTATACAGAGGACTCAGATGCCCTCGGCGCACCAGGAGCAGCAGCCCCCGCTTTCGCATCAGCTCAGATCCTGACCATGCCCACGGTATAGGGTTTAGGGTTTTAGGGTTTTACGCCCACACTAGTACTGTAAAGCCAGTACCCCAAAGCCTCAACCCTGAACCCACTCAAAATCATGCAAAATCCCTTCCCTGCCGTCTTTGTCAAAGGCAAAGCTTTTTGCTTTGCTTTGTCTCTCTCGGAGGGGGAGTCTCAGGGTTCCGGTTCAGTGTCGGGTCGGTCTCAAGCCCGTTTAGGGCAGGAGTTTCAGCGTTCAACTTCAGTGTTCAGAGCTTGGGTCCTCTAGTAGTAGTTTAGACTTTAGGGCTTCCGGGCTCGGGGCTCCAGGCTTTCAGGGTTCAGAAACTCTTCGAGTTCAGTGGTGTCTAGCTTTGGAGTGTCTTAGGATTTAGGGCTGCTGGGGCGGAAACTATGTGGGCTTCGGTTCCGTAGCCCGACAGACCTTGAGCTCTTGAGCCCACACCCCGTGCCCAAAATGCAACACACAGAGCCTCGCTGGAAGAGCTTCATGGCAGCCTCCATGGCCTTTTGAGCGAGCTCCTTACCTTGACAGGAGCTCAAGGCTCAAGCTTTTGCAGTCGGTAAGTAATGGCTCGAGAAATAAGTCAATTTTGGGTTTGTGGGTTTTGCGTCTTGTTTGTGGGGACTGTCTCGGGACACGGTGTTGTGCGGGCTTTGGGGTCTCTGGTAACTTCAATCGTTTCGGGACTCTCTCGAGAAATGCAGCCAATTCGGGTTTGTGGGTGTTGTTTGTTCGGTGCTGTTTCGAGGAGTTTGCTCATTTCGGCTTTCTTGTCGTTGAATACTGTCTCGAGGAATATGCTGGATGCAATGTTCGGTCATATCACTGTATCGTCGACAACAAGCCAAAAGCGTGGATTCCGAGAAAGGGTTGGTTACAAAGTATGTATGTGTATGTCTACATACATATACACATATAAACACATATCCATATATACATGTATCCATATGTACATATATACACATATACATATATACATATATACATAAATACATATATACATACATACAT